GAAAAGCTGCTGCACTAGCAGGTCCATTTTTGCAAGCGCTTTATATTCGGAAGCAGCTTCCTCCTGAACAGCTGGAATTTGTTTGTGAGCAGCTGGGGGAGAACAACAAAAATGCTCAAATCCATCTTGAAAACAAGGAGAAGTAGCAAACAAGAAGAATTTTGGGCCACAGTCTGGTATGAACTGTGATGTGGCTGGCAAACACTTCACACGCTAACGTGCACTTGGGAGCTCATATCCTTGATCCAGTCTGTCCTGGGGTAGCCTGACTGCGCACCCTGCACGTAACAAAAATGGCAGGCTAGGGCTGAGTCAGTAATTCACATTACAAAATAAAGCTTTAGTCGATGAAATGGAGAAATCAATAGCGCAGTGAACAATCCCGATGGTTAATGCCGTACAGGATTTAACAGTTCTGCCCTCAGTTTTTCCATACGCGTTTTTTTAAATGTGAAAATACAACTTCCATCAGGAACTGGAAGTTTTCAGAGCACGGAAGAGCCTGTTGGAGGTTTCAGCTGACACTTGAGAAAGACTCAGAAGCTGCTAGGGCCAGGGAAACAGCAAACCAAAAGAGTGATTCTTCTAAATCACCTGGCAGCAAAACAACAAGCACTGAAGTGCTATTGAGGTCCCTCTCAACATCCCAGCAGGGTTATAAAGAGGTAATCCCGCGCTGTCCCAGCTACCATGCCAGTTGTCTACAGGCCACAGAAGGCAACCCAACCCACAGCTCACACTCCATCCTTCAGCAGATTTCAGACATGCAAACTGTACGTTCCCTTCCCAGCAGCCACTCCAGCCCCAGAGCAAACTCCCAGCGCGGGGGCAAGTGCGAGTTGCCTCCTGCCCATGGTCACTCGGCAAGGCACTACGTCCTGGGGAGAACACGAAGCTGCTGCGTCACCCGGGCCGAGGGTGTCACACACCGTGTTCCAGCTTTGAGCCGCAGTCCCCTTGGTGCGGTACACCACTCCGAACACAGCTTCCCTCTCCTTCCCTCCCACGTCCCTCTCAAACCCAACCACCTCAGAACGGCTCTAGAGCATGCAAGTCTCAAACCAGAACAAGAAATGCTTTGTGCTCGGCACATGGCACCACTCGGGTGCTTTGGATGCATCAGGCTTTTGGCCTTGCCCCCAGATTGTGTTTCTGCAGCTCTGAAACACCCAGCACCCTGAGGCAAGACATGAAGATGGGCATGGTCATGCTTTAAACCCTGTGAGCTTTCTGTAGTGGCCTTTAAGGCAGAGCAGGAGATGACTGCAGTTAATTTGGATGTGAGGAAACCACACACATGCCGCACTTTCATGATGTGACCAGGGTTGTTCAGAATTAGTGCGCTCTCAGCGTAGAGCCTCAGCCCAGGACAGGACTCGGGAGTCCAAGCTCACAAGGCACCAGTGGCACAGTGGATGACAGTCCCCACTTCCCTGCCATTTACCTTCTTTGGAGCAAAAAGGGACTTGCAAAAGGACCCCATTCCTCACCACAAATATGGGTGTCACACAGCTCCCTCCAGAAGAACGTGCTCTAGCAGAAATTGGGTAGCTGCTCTCAGTGTTGAGATCAGACCCCCTTCCCAATGTGCTCTGAAGAATTTCTGCGTGCTTGTGTGCGCATGCTCCAAGAACTGATGAAAGATGCATCAGGCTGATGCTGCTAGCTTTCGCAGCTGCTGGCCATCAGCATTGCTCTGATGTTCCTCCATGAAGCCTCAGGCACCGGTTCGCTCTTCCTCCTCCCATTTCTGGCAAGAGTAACCTACGTACTCACCCACTGATGGGTTGCCAGTTTTCTGGTGTGGGTTTTGGCCACACAGGCCTTTTGTCCCTTTGTCATTTCCTTGCCAGCACACATGTGGCAAGGGAGGGGCCTGGCTGCCAGAGGCAGAATTGTCACCATCTCCTACAGATACTGGAGGACAGACACCAGCATGCTGTCTCGGGTCACTCTCCTCCTCAGAGGATTCACTCCCAGTTCTGCCACCAATATTCCTCAACCACGCAAACCTTGTTTTTTTCCTCACCCCCCTACTGAAGGCATCCATGCTAATAAACTGAAGTCCCAAGAAGAAAGGCAATTAACTGCTGATGACTGCAGCAGCCCTGAGGTAAAGGGCAGCCTCTGCCCCTCCCGTCCCAGAGAGGGCCACACACACTGAGCAATGGCACTAGGGCATTTCATGCTCCTGTGAGCTATCGCAATCAAGATTGGCACATTCAGCAGACAATGGAACAAGCCAGTCCTGCTCTGGCTGGTTCTGTATTACCACAGAAATAGCTCCTAGCTATTCCCTTTTCTGAGCATCAGTGGATTTCAAGATCCTTTAAGTAACAGGAATCATTTCCCCTCTTTCCATCTGGTACCGGCATTAGCACAGATGCTGTCATCCCTCAAGTAAGTCACAAATATTTCTCTTAGCAAAATAAATTCATAAAGATTTATTCACAAAGTTACCAAACTTCACCTGGCACAGGTACCAAACAAAAAGCACCCCTGCATTCTTCTGGAGTTTATTCTCCCGGTGTGGCACTGGAGAAGAAACACGAGACAAGATGACACCATGTCTCCATGGAAAAAGGATTTACTGCACAGCAGGA